GTGTCATGATCTTGTAAGCTACATGATCCTCCCCTGAGGTAGGGGAGGAAGCCCTGACTCACCATGAAGAAAGTACCTGAATTTTGGAACCAGATTCTTACCAAAGCAGATAATGCTGCACTTGACATTTGTGAGAGATATGGATATGGACATTTGCCAGTGTCTAGATAATGGTAATATATAAAACTACCCACGCAAAATTTTGTGTAGGAAGGATTACTCCATGAAAGAGTTCTATAAGTCACTGGAGTTTTGTTTCCATAATTATAGAGTAAATGGTAGCTTTGTTCAATCATATAGTCTAGCTAACCTACAACCTGAAGTTCAATTCTGTTAATTTATTGAAAACATAATAAGCATCGCTTTTTTTCCTCCAGTTTTTTTTTGGAACTTACATAATAAGCAGTACATGTTCCTTTTAGGATTTTTTTTCCACATAGCTATAGCTTCAAAAACAGAAATGTGTGTTTTTTCAAAGAAAAATCAACGTAGTGCTAAGTAGTCAGCCACCCTTACTCACTAGCTATGTTTCCTACATCAACAGGTCAGCTTTGCTGCCTAGCATGCTCAAATTATGTCTTGGCAAAATTCCAAAGATCATATGTGTTGAAAATTTTGAGAAGGAAAACACGAATGGTCACTACCAAAGCCCCACTACATTTTCTTCTTGCCAGCTTCTGTTAGAAGAAACTGGCTTTGGTTTTTTTTTGTTTGTTTGTTTGTTTGTGTTTTGTTTTTTATGTACAGCTATGCATTGATCAACTGTAGGGATCAGTTCTTTGAAATGCATCGCTAGGCTATTTTGTTACCATGCAAACATTATAAATTGTGTTTACATAAACCTAGACAGTACAGACCAGTCACTCAATGTGGTCTCTTGATACAGTCAAGAAACACCATGAGTGAGCATAACATGACGCAGTTTCACAGTAAGCTACTGTTTTATAAGTAGAAGGAGCACATTAAAAAGCAATTAGAAAGTTGAGTAATTACACAAAGCAGTTACATTGTGGTTTGTTATTGAATACTATGAACTATACATAATTTTTTGTTGTTTTATGGTTTTCAAGATAGGGTTTCTCTGAGTAGCTTTGGAGTCTATCCTGTAGACCAGGCTGACTTTGAACTCACAGAGATCCACCTGCCTCTGCCTCCCGAGTGCTGGGATTAAAGGCATGTGCTACACTTCCCAGCTGAATAATTATATGCCCTATACATCTACACATGTATCAACACAATAGGTTGATTTATATGGGCACCATCACACACACACACACAGGTTATATGTTATTTATGACAACTATGATGTCACAAGGCATCAGCTCCATAGTCTAATGGGACCACTATTATTTGTGTGGTCTGTCATTAAATAAAATGTCATTATGCAGCATGTGATGGATGGTACATGGACAGACTATCATACACCTCAAAACAAAGACTGACATTTGCATGACTGTCTGAAGAAGGGAGTAGCCATACTTAGGATACAGTATTTGGTGGTATACTGGCATTAAATTCAGTTTCCTGTTCTTCTGACTGTCTTGTGTTGGGCAAGCTACTGTGTCTTGCTGTACTTTATGTTCTTCTGTCAAATAGGCTGAATATGAGCACTGAACAGTAAATTTGTAGCACCAGAGTGGTATTTGCACTTGAATTGAACAAATGTTCTTTGTTTCCATTGTTTTACTGTTCCCTGGGAGTGGTATTTCTTGTCTCCTCTGTTGCAAAATGCAACTCAGGGACTATGAGTGCTGTATAAATAATCCCATTGCTTTCCACTTCACAGGATGTTCCATGCCACTGGGCCTGGAGGATGGAAGGATAGAAAACAAGCAAATCACTGCATCTTCATTTAAAAAGTCATGGTGGGGAGACTACTGGGACCCCTCCCGTGCCCGCCTGAATGCCCAGGGCCGTGTGAATGCCTGGCAAGCCAAGGTGACAGCAGCCATATAAATGGTGTTCTCTTGCCTTCCAGAAACAAACAATGACCGCGACCGCAGGGGACTTGGGGGCCCGCAGAGAGTCTAGGATGACTTGCAGAATCAAATAGCTACAGCTCTAAGCATGGTCCCAGCAAAGTCACACATCTTCACTGTGGTCCTTGGTCTGGCTTTGGCTAAAAACAGGGAGGGACAACAGTTTTCAAAGAGCAAGATAGTAAATATTTGAGACTTTCAGATAGTTTGGAAATTTATTCTTTTTGTTTTAAGTAAAATTCAACTATAGATTCGTTCAACGGCTATTTGTTGAACACTGTGTACCTTGCATTGCTATGAATGCGAGGATGGGGGGAGGACAAACACAGGAGACCAGGACATGACACAGCTAAATAAGCTCTCTCCCTAGAACAGCGAGGGACCTTAAAAAGCACACAGTTATTGCATATGATATGGAATACATATGTAGAATTTAAATTGGTATGCAAAGTAGGTTTTATTGTGGCATTTTCATACGTATGTGTCATCATACTTGGTTCTTAATCATTCCCCTTCAGCACTGCCATCCCCCAGTCATACATATTCTATTCCTCTATTCCCCCATCATGGTCCATAACAATAAGTCAGAGATCACAGGGAAGTCTTCTACAAGACAGTGACTCCTAAGGGAGGAAATGGGGAGGCTTTAGTGCATTTGTAAACAGGCTGATCTTAACAAAAAGAAAGGCTTAACATCTTCCTCAGTTCACGTTTTTCTTTAACCATTTTCATAGGCAAATAACAACAAACAGTGGTTACAAGTCGATCTGCTCAAAATCAAGAAGATCACTGCCATTGTAACACAGGGCTGTAAGTCTCTGTCTTCTGAAATGTATGTTAGGAGCTACAGCATCCAGTACAGTGACCAGGGCGTGGAATGGAAACCGTACAGGCAGAGATCCTCCATGGTGGACAAGGTACGGATGCCATGCTGGGAAACTGTTTCCTGGCGAGACTAAGAGAAGCATCCTGCATTTAACAAGTCTGATTATGTGCTGCTCCCCTAGTCTTCTCACAGGGGAACCATTTGTGTCACTTTTCTGTCTTAGCCACCTGTGAAATAGGGAAGACAAAATGCCAGGGGATGCAATGTGGCTTTCATTACCTCTGAGAAAGATGGTGAACCTGTCCAGAAAACCTTCTGCTAAATAATAAAAACATTGCTGCAGGCAGAGCCGGTGCTTGTAGCAAATCAGATGCCCAAGACCACAAGTCTCTGTGTGTCACGCTGCTGTTAAACAGGAAACGTTTGGGAAGACTACTCTTGTGGTGAAATGAATGGCTCCATCACATTCCTAAGTCCCTCTACCTTCTACCAGGTGCTTAAACAATGCTGCCAGAAGCAAAGCCAAGGAAATATGCTGAGTGACCCAGGAATGGCAACTGGGCTAAAAGTAGGAGGAAAACTGTTAGGAATAAAGCACATGGGGGACCTTGGCAGATTCCATGGCGGGCAAGGGACAAGTGTGCCAGGCAGACAGAGCTTAAGTGAAAACTTTATTAGAAAGGGAAGGGAATGGAGTGATGGAAGGGAGAAGGGGGAGAGAAGAGAAAGAGAGGGAGAGACAGAAACAGCGAGAAAGAGAAGAGGGAGGCAGGAAATGTAATGGCTTCTTCAAGGTCACATGGTGACAAAGAAGCTAAAGAAGTTACTCATGTCAAGTTTATTTTTTTTCCTAATTTGACACACATCAGTAAGAAATGAGCATCTTTTTTTTCTTTTTTCTTTTTGGTGGAGGGTGTTGAGACAGGGTTTCTCTGCGGCTTTGGATGTTGTCCTGGAACTCACTCTGTACACCAGGCTGCCCTCAAACTCACAGAGATCCACCTTCCTCTACCTCCGAATGCTGGGATTAAAGGTGTGTGCCACCGCCACCCAGCTGAAATGAGTATCTTTAAGGGGACATTGATCTGGCTTGTGATTTAGTAATTTACTGATAATGATAAAAAAATTGATGACTGACTCTAGTATAAGAGGATTTTAAAAAATAGAGATAAAATATGAATGTCCATGCTGCAAACTTTGACAGTTCTACTGTGCTTTCCTTTCAGATCTTTGAAGGAAACAGCAATACCAAAGGACATATGAAGAACTTTTTTAACCCACCCATCATTTCCAGATTTATCCGCATCATTCCTAAAACCTGGAACCAAAGTATTGCACTTCGCCTGGAACTCTTTGGCTGTGATATTTACTAGAATTGAAGCCATAAAAAGGAAAAGAAAGAATAAAAACTGAAGAAACTTCTTAAGGCCTAAACCATTTAGAGTAGACAATATATTATGGTTATTTTAAATGTTAACAAATTTTCTGCTATTTTTTCTAATAGAGAGTAAAGTTTATATAAGAAGCCTTTACAATGTTAATTCATCGTTGCCATTGAGGTGGCAGCTATTATTTCTTCACTAATTTGAATGTAGATGGGAAAATATTAAGTACCAGCAAGATATGACTGCCTTTTACTCTGATTAAAGATATTAGTAATGTAATAGTTATATAATGGAATAATATGGTTCACTGTAGCTCTTTACAATCCTGTAGGTATTAATAAAAGAGATATTACTTTCAGAAACTGTTCATAGACCTAGAAAACTTTTATTCCTATATTTCCACTTTAAAAACAAACTATAGTTTGTAAACAATGGAGACAATAGGGAAAAAATCTTGCTGTAATGAAGTGAAAACTTAAAATGCCCTGTGTTGGGCTGGCTTGCAAAAACCTGATGGCCTGAGTTCAAGTCCAGAACCCTCAGTGGAAGGAAAGAACTGATTCTGAACAGATGTCCTTTGACTTCCTCCATGCAGCTGTGGCACATGTGTGTGCCCATGCCCACGTATAAGTACTAACAGGAAATAAAAGATTTTACAAGCCCATCTTTCTATGTCAGCATGAGTCTCCGGATTCTCCATGAGCAAAGAAACAATTGAGCCTGTTTCTCACATCCCAGGTAGACTTGTACATCTGTCTTGGCCTTGTTTGGGACAGGTTACATCTATTGACATCCAAGGGTACCAGCCATCAGAAATTAAAACCCAAATAACCTTGGGAGAACTAGTCATGTGTCTTGGCTTGATGGAAAGGTTGGCACTGTGTAACTCACTGTTTCAAAACTTGGGTTCACCTCAGGGAAGGCACTTACCTGTAAAGAAGAACACCGGGGCTGTTGGCACAAGTGAAGCAGTTCCTGTTAGAGCTGCTCCGGGCCAAATTGGCAAGTGGGTTAAGAGTTCTTTCTGTGCCTTCTTTCTTGCCTTCCCTCGCTCGGCAGCTTCAGTTGGCATGCTTTTCTCTGAAAACTTGAAATCTGGTGGTGCTACACTGCTAGCCAGTCAGTGGAGCCTTTTAACATCTACAAAGTCACTTGGGATTGGGCACTCCATACGGATAGGAGAGTCATTCAGACAGTCAAAATTGTTTGGTTTTGTGAAATAAACCACCCCAAAGCATAAGCAAGAGTTGTGCTAAATATACATGAGGTAATAGATAAGATAGATGACTGATTTTATAGTGTGCATGTACATTATACACCACAAATACAATTTGTCTAGATTAAAATATTAATGGCAAAGCATCCGATTTATTCTCTTTCATGATGCTGTGGGGTCACTGGGCTCAGTTGGACAGTTTCATTGCTGGCTTCATTTGGTGTCACTCATGTAGTTAGAATGAAGCCCTGGCCTCTCAACTGGACTCCTAAGGGGATTTACATGAGTACAGAAACTGGAGCAGTGGAGGGGGTGGTCCTTTCTGTCTTTTGATGTGTTTCAGTTCCAGTCTCCAATACTTGGCTTCTGTGTGTGGTTGTTACGGAATTTCCTGTCCAGTTCCACAGCCACCTTACCCAAAAGAAGCACACAGGTGCTATATTAATTATAATACTATTGGCCATTGGTTAGGGCTTCCTGTTGGCTAGCTCTGTCTGAATTACTACAAATTTCTATCAATCTATGTATTGCTACGAGACTGTGGCTTACCCAGTAATGCCCAGCATGATGTTACTCCTCTGGCAGCCTACACGGTGATTCTGTCTCCTCTGCCTACATTTCCCAGAATTCTCCTCCTCTCCCAGTCCCACCTATCTTGCTGCCCTATTGACCAACAGTGTTTTATTCATCAACCAATAAGAAAAGCATATGTACAGAAGACATCCCCATCATGTGGTCTTCCACTCAATGTCCCCAGTGAGTAGTTGGCTTTTTATATGATGGTTAGGGTGTTCTAGGCAAATGCTCAAATGCCAGGAAGAAGAGATCCTCATGCTTTTTAAAGTCTAGGCTCAGAGCAGAGGCATAGCCTCACTCCTGCCACATTCTACAGGTGAAGTAAGTGAAGAATTGGTGAGCCAAGATTTGGTGTAGGAGGAGCCATATGGGTATGCATACCAGAGGGCATTGTTCACTGAGGGTTTCTTTAGAAACTACCAGTTACCTATTGCATCTTCTAGTGATCCCTGTAGATATGTGTGAGAGCTTTCAACACCCATAGAGTAGTGACTTTCTGGAAGTATTTATATTTCTGTTGTGACTTTTGTTTCATGATTCATTTTACAGTCCTCCCAAAATTTCACTAAGATTTTCATTTTGTTAACAGAAACTGAGAATCTGAAGTTTTTTTTTTTAATTTCTTTTTTCCAACTGGTGGATTTGCTTTTGATTCATCTGCAAAAGGCCCTATGTTCAGGGCCTGGACTGAGGTGGCTGCTCAGCTGTCATGCTTTCGACACCTTTAATTTTAAGATAAAAAGTCTGACATTTATATTTTTAATAAGCCCCATGCATTATAAAGCTAGTCCTGTGTATCTCTACTATAGAATTAGATGGTCTCAGCACTCCCTTCTCTCTCTTCTGGGTCTCACTATGTAGCCCTGGCTGGTTTGGAACTCACTAGACAAGGCTACCCTTGAACTCACAGAGATCCACCCACCTTGCTGGAATTAAAGGCTTGTGCCACCACACCTGGCTAGGATTTCTCTTGATCTGAAATCTACTGAAGTATAATTGGGGTAATAAATATTATGTGGCAACATAAGAAGGGGAATAAATGACAAGGTAGTGAAACACTTAGCTTTGTTAGCTTGTCTATTAGATAAGACTCCAAAGGAAAAGTAAATTGTTCAAAACTCGTACATGCTAGTTTCAGATATATACTCAAACAACCCAAATGGAAGTTATAATGTGAGTAAGCCACACCCTTAAACAGGTAGATATTAATGTGAAAAAAAAGTTTAAGTATCAGCAAAATGTTAGGGCTATAAGTGACTTTGAAATAAAATACAGTTCCACTTTTTGTCCCTCCCTTTGAGGAAGTTTAGCTGAACTTACAGCTTCGGTACCTGGTCTGTCCTCCTCTGACACAACACAGCGCACTGATTGTTATCTCGTAACTGGTCGCTAAAGAGAGAAGTGAGTCACAAAGGAATTATGATTTCCAAAGAGAAACCAACAATTAAAATCCTAGGCATTATTAGTCACTCTAATTGAAAGTTGGAGAAGAATAGTTGAGCGCATCTCAAATACGAAAATCCTCAGTAAATGTTGGACTACTTCTTCAGAAGAATTTCAAGTACCAAAAGAAATACCATGCTACCTTTCATAACAAAAATTAAACAAGTATCATCTTTTGTGATGAGGACCAATATAACAACTCAAGGGGAAATGTTTGCCATATGCGAAAATAAAATGATTGATAGGAAAAGCACAGGGTATAGTTGGACAGTAACAAGACTTTAAAGTATTTATGTAAAAGCTTTGTCTCTGGTCCCTATTTAAACTGCCATCAATTCCTCTGTATGTTTATATTAAAGGAAAGCTTCTTTGTGTTTTAGGAATGATGCTCAGTAGGTCCAGACCCTTGTTTATTTTTTACTGGCATGGAATTCGGTGATCGTCCCTGGTGTGCCTGTTTTCAATGCCTTCCCCTAAGGACTTACTCTCCCTCTGTTGGGAGCCCGTCACCACTGCTCCCAATCTTTGTTCATATGTTTGCTTTAACAGAGACTTGTGATATCACTGACTCACTTAGTATTCTGTTTGTTTCTAGACCAAGTTGACCTCAAACTGGCCTGCCTCAAGTACACATTGCTTTTAATTGCTGCTCTGTTTTCTACCTTCCTTTTCTCAGGAGTTGGTATTTATCTGCATATACAGAGTTCCAGGATTTTCACAGAGGGTAAGCCTTGATTCCTGAGGCTAAACCAGTGACTGAATGTAATGCTTGAACTTCTTTAGTAGATATCAGTGATCAGATTATGTTTTTCTCAAGAATAGGAACAGTTAATATTTGTTTATATACTGAGCCCTCGGACCTTCTTATATGAGATGCAGAAAAATTATAGAAAATTGGAAAATCTAAGTGGAATTGTCTTAGTGTTCTTTTGGTGTGAAGAGATGCCTTGACCAAGGCAACTCTTATGAAAAGAAAGCATTTAATTGGGGCTTGCTGACATTCAGGGGTTTAATCCATTATTATCACAGCAGGAAGTATGACAACATGAAAGTTGACATGGTGCTGGAGAAACAGCTGAAAGTTCCACGTCTGGATCAGCAAACAACATGAAGAGAGAGACATTCGGACAGGCTTGAGCATTTGAAACCTCAGAGCCCACCCCCAGTCAAGCCTATGCTCCAATAAGGCCACACCCACTAATAGTACCCCTCCCTGGTGCCCAAGCATTCAAATGTATAAGTCTATGGGGGTCATTCCCATTTAAACCACCACAGAAACTAAGTAAAAAGCTTATTTCAAGAAAAATTGCTTGTAACGAGAGGAAAAAAGCCAAGTGGTGGTACATGCCTTTAATCACAACACTTGGAAGACGGAGACAGGAAGCTCTCTGAGTTTGAGGACAGCCTGGTTAACAGAGGAAGTTGCAGGAGAGTCAGGACTACTCAGAGAAACTCTCGTCTTGAAAAACTAGAGGTGGGGGCATTAACCAAAGATAAACTAGAAAAATTAGTCAGCACAATAGATTATACTATGCATTGTGAAGATCCCATATTTTTTTCAATACACCAGATAGACTAGAACATTATACACTATTGACTGGTGGTGATAATATGGTCTGATATTTCTGAGTATTATAAAGAATGCTCCCTATCCTGTAGTTGGATAATTGAGCTAGCACGCTAAATTAGAAATGAATTGGGAGCCCGACGGTGGTGGCACACGCCTTTAATCCCAGCACTGGGGAGGCAGAGGCAGGCGGATCTCTGTGAGTTCGAGTCCAGCCTGGTCTACAAGAGCTAGTTCCAGGGCAGCCTCCAAAGCCACAGAGAAACCCTGTCTTGGAAAACCAAAAAAGAAAGAAATGAATTGGGAGCCAACACTCAACTAAAAGTAAAATGCCAGAAGATTGGGGAAACAAGGCTCCTGAGGCCAGTGTCGCGTGCACTGTGTGCATGGATCTAAAGAGGGCCCATATTCATATGCATGCTCCAGTCACGAGTATTTCTCCAGGCAGGGATTTAATGGCCATTTGGCGGCAATAAAATCAAGACTGCATTTCTGCAGGTATCCTCTCTCATCTCATTCTAATAGAAGCAAGTGCCATGGGAAGTCAGATGCTTTGGGAAAATAATGGGAAATATGGGATTTTATAAAATTGTTTTCATTCATCTAACTTCCTTCCTGTTACTTTAGAAAAGATTATCATTCTATTTTGTCAATAGAATAATCTTTCACACTCAATTCCCTTACACTCTATCCACAACCTGTGGTGGGGACATCAATATCCACTCATTGTATGCATCCGTGTATTCTGATTCTTCATCTAGTACACACTAATCATATCAGAGAATCAACTCTTCTGAAAACCAATATAACATACACAGAGTCTTTCGACTTGGTTAAAGAAATATCTATTGTAAATAAGATCAAGAAAGGATACCACAAAGAGTTGTTCTGGCAAAACCTTCGGTACTCACAAATTTATTTGAAAACCTCTAATGTTGGGCAAATACTCTGCATCAAGCTCTATGCTCAGCCACACAAATTTCTAACTCTTAAGGCCTGGTTTTATTAATTACACAGGTTTCTCTTTGTACTGCTTTGTAGTGTGTTGTCACACACTTGACACAGATTCTAGATAAACAGTTTCTCCCAGTTTGAGGTCACTCGGACTATAAACCCAGATGTTGAAATGCAAATATATGCTGGCTTCCCAAACCCAGTGTTTGCTCTATGAAGTTATCATTCAACAAGATGAAAGCTCAGGAAACTAAGCCAGGTTTATATTTAACCACCTCTCCCATCCTCTTCCCCAACAAATCCTATTCCCTTACACTTTATCCGCCTACAATTTTTTAGCACTCACCGGGTAAACTGTCCCCTCCCCCCACTTTCAAAATAATTTTTTTCACAAAGTCATATTTCTAGCTAATAATCGATTGGTAACTGGAAGCTGCTTGGACAAGAAATTAGTTTTCCAATTAGTTTCCTTGTAGACTGAACAGGCTCCAGTGGAGGGGTACACATCCCAGAGTATACAGCCAGCACTCATAAGTTGTACTGGATGCATTAAAAAAATGAGGACTCAAAGTTAGGTGGCTTTGAGATGAGGAGGAGATCTGGATGGAGTTAGGGGAGATGATGAATATAATGAAAACAGAATGTCTGAAATTCTCCAAGAGTTAGTAACTAAAAAACACAGAGAAACAAATTAAATACAAAATTATGACTAAGACGGTAGCATTCTACTACTAAACGCAACATTTGACTTCAGCAAATTAACGTAACACACCATGTAAAATTAATGTCAGTCATCTTTTCTTAGAAGAAAAAAATGATTTTTGTGATGCATTTTACCAAAATACATTTGCTGTCTGTGTTTCGTCCCCAAAGTGCTGGCCTACTTAACCCTTTCAAACCTCCTCTCCCAGTGAGGATCTGCGGACTGTGATCTAACTTAATTCGAATGGGGGGGAGCTGTTCAGTTGTCCCAATGGGGTCTGCAGGCTCTTAGCACCCTGCACTTTGCCTTCCTGTCTCCCTCAGTGGCCAGTTCCTATGAGCAAGCCTGAACCTTGTGTCCTCAGCACAGGCGGGCAGTACGTTATATGCAGCTGGCTAGAAACTACTGGAACAGCTCAGCTCTAAAACACTCCCATGCCACCCACCCTAAGACCTATTAACATCGCCAGTATTTCCTGCTTCCACACGACTCTGGCTTCGTGGTTTCACTGCCTCTATACCCAGTGTGCACCCATGGTTCATTAGCACTGCTTGCAATCCTGTGGACAACTCCAGTTTGTTAGAGCTGCTTTCATCTGCCTTACCTCCTTCTAGGAGGAGGAGGGAAACTTCCATTTTTCGTCGTAGATTATTTCAAAAATATTAGGATCTCCCAGTGAATTCAGTAAACTTCTATATATTTGTCAAAACTTATTGAGCGCCAGACGGTGGTGGTGCGCGCCTTTAATCCCAGCACTCGGGAGGCAGAGGCAGGCGGATCTCTGTGTGTTCGAGGCGGGGCTGGTCCGAAAGCCTCCAAAACAATACAGAGAAACCCTGTCTCGTAAAAACCAAAAAACAAAACAAACAGACAAACAAAAAAAAAAACTTATTGAGCTATCCATCTAAACTTGGGTGATTTTATTAACTGAAAATTATACTTTAATAAAGTTGTTAAATTTGCTACTCAAAAAAGAAAAGACATCTGAATTCCGGCTGCTCCCTTCTCCTCTGCTTATGAATGTACTCCAGCCTCTTCAAGAATAAACAGAACAAAAGGTAGGTGAAAATTCACTCTATTCCTGTTGTTAGAATTCAGGCATTATGCTGTTCTGACCCTGTTTACCTGTCAGGATGCACTCAGCAGTACCCTGGCCAGCCCAAGGTCCTATGGCTGTAACATGACTACATAGTTTGCATGCGGGTGCAAAGGTTCCTTTAAGAGGCAAACTCCGCCCACCTCTTTCTGACATCTCTCTGAGGAGGCAGACAGATCCCGGTCTGTTCTGTCTCTCCCCCCTCTCTTTTCTCTCTGTCTCTCTCTCTTTCTTCTCTCCCTTCTTACACTCCCTTCCCTTCCCAATAAAACTTCCTTCCCATGTAAGTTCTGCCTGATGGCATGTTTGTCTCCCACTATGGATACACTGTGGTCCTACCGCAAGCCTTATTCCCAACACCTGTTGTCTGCACTAACATTGAAAGAACTACTGTTAGCATCCAGGCATATCTGGTCCACCCCTGGCATCCTCCCTTGCCAGTAGTCAGGTTGTACTCTGAATGACTCAGAGTCCTGACAACATCTTCAGCTAGCTGCTATAGCTACACCCTTTTTAAAAGGGCTGAACTCTGAAGCCGGGCATTGGTGATTGGTGGTGCACGCCCTTAATCCCAGCACTCAGGAGGCAGAGGCAGGCAGATCTCTGTGAGTCCGAGACCAACCAGCCTGGTCTACCTATCGAGTTCCAAGACAGGGTCCAAAACAATACAGAGAAACCCTGTCTTGAAAAAAAACCAAAAAAAAAAGGGGGGGCTTATCTCTGCTTATTCTTCCTCTTCTTCCTCCCTCCTATTTCTCCCCCGCCCCAGCTCTCTGCACCTCTGTCTCTCTCTCCCTCTTCTTAGGAGGCTGCTCTGTGCTCCCTCTCTCTCTCCCCTCACCCCCCCCATAAACTCTTCACATGAGTTCTGTCTGCATGACTGTCTCTCACCATGGTTTGAACCCAACCCACCAAGGTCCCCCTCATGCAGAATCATAACAGCTACTAATTGATTCTCAAATTTATCCGAAGTACTTGTAGGTTGACCCATTATGGTATTAGGTAATAGAAGATCACATGTTTAAGATTAATTTTTGTGTGTATGTAAGGCTCTGTGTAGAGCATTAAGATGGATGGTCCTTATTTTGTTCCCTGTGCTTCCTTAAGAAGTAAATACTTTGCACCAGAGAAAACTGAATCTTTAGGAGAGAGTACTAGTGGACCTTAACCCAAGGCTGCCGAGTGCTACAGCGGTGTCTGGGTTCCGAACCCATTCTTCCTGGTGGTTGCTTATCATTAAGCTCTTTGTTGTAAGCCACATGACTATGTCTCCGAGAAGGCAATGGTAAGAGACGGATTAGCCAGTTACTTATGCTTCCATGCATTTCTCTCCCTCTAATGTAAAATTCTCGACTTCATGACTCAGTCACATCCAACTATCCCTTGCCAGTAGCTGGCCATGCAGCTTGGTGGGAGAGTGCTTGCCAAACATAGGGTTTGAATCACAACACTGAAGTAAAAAAGAAAATGAGTGGTGGGAGAGAGAAGAAGAGAGAAAGGGAAAGAAATGAAAACTACTTGGCAGGATACAGAATTGAAGTCCAATGGTCTGAGAGAAGCACCAATCACATCCTAGGTCTGTGCATCCTTTCTCCTCACCCCCAGTCTAGAGACCCAACCTAATAGATTGCACACAGCATCAAGTACACTACCATGAGCCACATTCCAGCCCCCACGTAGATCCTTTTGTATGTTTCCAAGCATGAAGAGCTTCTGCCCTAGAATCCTAGAATATAGTGAGAGAAGACAGGGTTAAAATACAGAATGGTCTATGTTGTCAGAAATGTATGAGTGAAGATACAGGATCTCCATGTTCTAAGACAAAGATGAGTTCTTTCACCCGTGGATGCATAAAGTTGGTTTCATCTAAATACTTTAACACTGAAACAAATAACCAGGGTGACTGTGGGCACGGAGTGCTTCACTCAAGTATTGGTTAGACATTATAAATCTACAACTGATTTTCAAAAGAGTATTAATAAAGACTGAAGCCAACCCATGAGGATTTGGAAGTTTGTCTGCCAAAATACTTATTAGATAACTCCTATGCTCAAAATACCAGAGTAAACATGGGAGAAGATAAAGAATACAGCTGGTTCTTAATCACAGAAAAACCAGCTCAGCTGAGCATAGTAGTACACCTGTACTCCCAACACTCTGGAAGTTGAGGCAGGTAGATGGTGATTTTGAGGCTAGCTTGATCTATGCAAGACCTTTTCTCAATAAAATAATAATTAATTTATACTATAACACCGACAGTAATAATCACAACTTGTGGCATAGGAATTCATGCATATAGGGACTAGAAATTATTTACCTGACAGGATGTAACAAGGGCCTGATATGACATGTGGAGCAAGTAAACACAATACTTAAATGTCTCCCTCACTCTTAAAGATATCCATGCTCTATTGAAACTCTAGCCAAGATCACTCATCAGCACCTAGAAAATACACAATGAGAAATTTTCAGGTCTGGGATCAATATTCAGACTGAGGTTCAGGGAGAGTGTGCCCTTGTTAGTCTCTTATCTCTGGGAGGATTTTACATGAGATAGTCTTCCACAGAAACACGTGAAGAACCTATAAGTGAGAGAAGAAAATAATAGGGTGTGCTGGTGTGTTTGGTGTGCTCATTTACTGTTAGAGCGAAAGAGGAGAATGGCAGAGCAGAGACAGCTCCATGGCATTGGGGATGTCAATGCACTTGGAAGATCTGTTCTTTTAGTCCATTAGTTCTCCAAGATGACTATCTGATGGGAAAAATCAACACGCCCTTGTTTTGGTTCATTCTGGATTTCTTGTGACTCATTCTCATGGGACTATGAATGCTGAGTTTAGAGATTGTCAAAAGAGCTCACTTACCTTGTCGTAGAAAACAGGACTTAACACATCTTCTTACAAAGGCTTGGTACAGTCTTTTAAAAAGAAACAGACTATCAGCATATAAAATATTTCCATAGTCCTGTCAGTATGGATCCCATCTGAAACCTGTTCTATATGGAAGTCTTTCTAATGTGAGGACATGGAGAGGCTGCCTCAGCTGAGTCAAAGGTGATGTGTCCAAGCCTGCCATTTTGCAATGGATTGACTGTCCCATCCCTGGGAGCTTCCAAAAAACACACCAAGAATTCTGGGTCAGATCAGTGCTAATTTTCAGAGAAAGCCCAGCAGTAGGGCTAAGACAGCCGGTGAAGTGTGGCAAGTTGGCCCTCTCCTGATTGTGCTCTTCTCATACCTTTCAAACCTTGCTAGCAGTGTGCCCTACTCCTCCCCTCTTCTCATCCATGGTGATGGGAGCCTAGGTGCTTGATCCATGTGTGAGGAAGGCAGCTGTGTTGGTAGGAATGGGGATACAAATGCCTACAAATGTGTCAGTCTCTGTCATCATACCATGTCATCGGTGTCGAGATGATATATTCCTTTTCCAGGACTCAGTGTATTCCTGCCACTGGGGCAGAGTCTCCCAGCTGAGTCAATTTCAATAGCAGGGAACTTTACAGCTAGAAATCATCGGCTGCAACTCTCATGTTAGAGGAATTGAGGTTGCAAGATACAGCCACTTACTCAAAGGCATATAGCCTACTTGACCTACTGAGCAAGAACTTAGAGTTAAGAGTCTCTTCATCAGATTATCTTTGGCTAAAATACATCTCCCCAAATTAGTGTGTATAGTCTGTATGATTCACACTATCCATCTGGATAGCCAGTAAAAGCAGTGTTCCTAAGAATATAAATTCCATTTTCTTACTGAATCACAGAGGTTAACACTGTTTATGATAAAGCCCTTAGATTGGAATTGCTACATGCCAGCCTGTTTTTAAACTTCAAGTAAGCTTGCTACCTATATGGCTTTTGGAGTTCCAAGAAAGCTCAGTTTTTAGGAAAGGGAATTTGGGGAATAGTGGATGGAATGGAGATAGATTTTTCTGTGGTCTATTCTAAAAAAAATGCCAAAATTCAGTATGAACATAGCTTCCCAAAAGAGGGATTAATAAAAGCCTCATATCCGTTTACTATAGAATCCCCATCATGGCTGGACCATTTTGTTTCTTTTGCCATTGGCCATCTACTCATTTTTACCTGGTGTGGACTGCAGGGTGACCATTGCTGCTTGACTGCGGTCCAGCATTTCAACACTGCAGACCACACTTCTCCATATCTTTATCCTTTTACTTTTAACGATCCTCACTATTAACACCCTTCCTTTTGGGAGATTTATATGGGCTTTGGTAAATGATTAAAATGTATACAATGGTAGCTTCTCTAAATAAAATAATTCTTTGGAAGAAAATTCCCTGCCACCACAGAATCAGGAATTCCATTGTGCACTCCTAATTATACCAAGAACAGGAATGTTAAAGATTAACTAGACACCTGATCCCAAGGATGAAATGCCTACAGTTCCCAGACCCTGAGACCATTAAAGGCAAGGGTGCAGTTAACAAATACGGAGAAATCTGGGCTGGAGAAATGGCTCAGCCTTTAAAGGCTAGATTCACAACCAAAAATATAAATACAGAGAAATCAAAACGGTATGGTATAATGGGGAAACAGTAAGACATTAGGACCTTCCTTTTTGGTAGCGTTATGAGGGAAACAGGCCCATATAGGAAGACTAAGAAATTGTAGTACAACCTGGCAGTGGTGGCACATGCCTTTAAGGGAGGCAGATGTGGAGCTCTGTGAATGTGAGGCTAGCCTGGTTTACAGAGTGAGTTCCAGGACAGGCTCCAAAGCTACAGAGAAACCCTGTCTCTAAAGAAAAAAAAATGTAGTATAGTGTGCTCAGAAGAAGTCCTTTCCCAAGGTTAGGCATTTGGACAAGGGTCTCCATTACCTTGGGGGCTTGAGGAAAGTTCCTGCTTGACAAAGCAGTCATTCTTCTTATCTCTAGCAAGAATCTATGACCCTTTCATTAACATATGGCTAGTGCCTATTGTGGAGGTCCAGGCTGGCTAGCTTCCTCAGCTCCTTATCCCAAGCCACATCCCTGCTCACAAGTCCCTTGTATCCAGTTTAATCCTATGTGTAACTCTATAGTATAAAAGGTATAATCTTTTCTTAATAAAATGTTGCGGGCAGCCATCCTGATTCCATCCTCAGATCACATCAACCGTGTCCTGTGTCCTTTAGCCCACCCGGTGACTCCACACATCCTCTTTGGGACCTGAACACCCTGCTGAAGCAGGTCTCTGGCATTCGCCAAACTTGTTGGGGTGTCAGTGGATGTGGAAATGGGAAAGACTGGGGACTTTATAGGTGGATGAGGGCTAAAACACAAAAGTTATAATAAAATGTGAGAATACAATAGAAGTAAACCCATAGTTCCAAAGTAGAGAACAGAGCAAGTGCCCAAGGAGCCAGGGAGAAACTGACGTCATAGCCACTCATTTATTCAATAAATACAAATTGAATGCGTGAGCACATTGCTAAGCATCATTCTAGAACAGCAAGCCAAAGCAGAGTTAATGCTTTCATGGGGCTCTTATTTCAGTGTTCACTGGAGGAACATGGAAAGTAAACATGCAAGCATCATGCAATAAAGCACGTGGACATGAGTGGTGAGTTGGGAGAAAATGAATAAAGTAGAGTATTAAAACAAAAAGTGTCTGGGATGTGTTTGTGTGCTACTTTAAACAGGACCAAGTATTAACTAGACATGGGGGCTGGAAAGATGGCTCAGCTGTAAAGAGCAAGGGCTGCTCACCCAGAAGACCAGGGCTCAGTTCCCAGCACCCATATGGTGGCAACAACCAACTGTAACTTCCAATCCCAGGGACCGGATGCCCTTTTCTGACCACTGAGGTACTGTGTGCACATGGTGCATAGACATATATGCAGGTCAAACACCCATACACATAAATTTTTAAAAAAGATAAAATAAAATTGAAAGAACCAGACCCTTTAGCAACCATGACAGGCTGCAGAAAGGACTCAGCAACATGTGCTTGCCTGACCGCCTAGCAACTAGGAAGTCAGATACCCTCCATGTGGCAAGTAACCAATCAGAACTTAGCTGGCAGGCTCTGGACATGCTTTATGGTAAAACCAGAGGAACCTTAACTTTACAAGCATAGCAACCGCCCTGGGAGGGCCTATAGGCCATAGCAACTGGTTGACCAATCAACACAGGACAGGTTGCTCAGGCCCAGAAGTGCACCAATCCTGAGACTGTTGCATACCCCTAGACACTCCCCTTTTACACTCTCAACAAATTCCCCTGCCTCATGGTTTCTCTGGGTTCTTCTCACCCCACCCGCTGTGGCGAATGCATAAGTACTTGAGTTAAGACAGTTAACTTGCTAAACAATAAAAGACTCTTTGCTTTTGCATCAGAATGGGTCTCTTGGTGATTTCGGGGTTCAGAATTGGGGCACAACAAAAATAACTGGAAAGTAGTCATGGTGAGTGTATAGGAAGAGCTTGTTGTGGCTGCAGACAGCAGCAAGTGCAAATGTCCTCATGGGGGAGCACTCTCAGAGGATCTGGAGAAAGATGAAGTCTATGTGACTTTTCCAGAACAGGAAGATGAAGAGTTTAAAAAATCAGTCTCTCTCTCTCTCTCTCTCTCTCTCTCTCTCTCTCTCTCTCTCTCTCTCTCTCTCTCTCTCTCTCTCTCTCTCTCTCTCTCTCTCTCTCTCTCTCCCCCCTCTCTCTTTCTCCTTCTCTCTCTCTCTTTCTCCCTCTCTCTACCTAACTACCTATCTACCTACCTACCTACTTACCTAGATATAGATACATACTAGTGGGGGAGAATGGATCAAGGCAGGGCCTTATGGGCCACTGTGACTTAATTTATCTGCCAAAACTCACTTGAAATTCCCTGTTGTGAGCTGTGAAGAGGCAGGGTAACATGGATCTTTGAAATGTAATTAAGTAATGAATACTCTGCTCTGCAGAGTGGGCATATCTAGTCATGGAGTAATGGATTGAGTTGAAAGGTTCTCTCAAGAATGGTATTATAATTTTTTTTAAAAAAATGTTTGGTTCTGGTATTTGTGTGTGTCCCTAGAACAGTCTGATACCCCACATTACCTCAGAAGTGTAGAGTCCCCAAGCCAGCAGGGAGGATCTCAGCAGAAGCTAAGCTGACACCTGTACCATGCACTTGGACTCCCAGAACTATGAACAAAATAAACCTTTTTTTTTTCTGATGAATTACTCCATTTGTGATATTTGGTTCCTGAAACAGAAAAAAAAAGGCTAAAACACTGACTGTAGTAAAAATTTAGGATTTACTTCTAAATTTTATGGGACTGCATTGGGGATACCTAAACAAAAGAATGATACAGTTTATTTAGGCTTTAAGAAGATCCCTCTGGATGCTGCGCACATGGTGGAACTTTTTGAGACTGGCAAATGGTGGTTGTATTCTAATTTAGAAATCAAAAGGTGGAAGAAGTTAGGCAGAGCCAGAGTGGAGTAGGGGAATGGCACTACAAAGAATGCACTGGACATGCTCCAGAGTACTTTCCCATAACTCCCTATAGGTGTGACAATGCCTCTCCTGCTTGGTAACACATTCCCAGCCCACACAGAATGAGCAGCAGATTAATAGGCAGCCCTTTTGTTAGGATGCAACATGATACAGCTCAACATGTTGACAACATACAAAATTCTGGGTCAAGTATTCAAGGAAAGGGGCGGAGACTCACTTAAGAGCTGAATAAGCATTTTGCTGCCACATATAGTCTTTTAGTCCACAATTACTGTCAGGACACAACGTACTTCTGTTTGTGAAAGCCATCACAAATTTAGGAACATCTCAGGGGCACAACCTACAGTGGGACTTGGGTAACTGATTCACAACTGATTTCTGATATGAATCCTCTGCCTATAGACTGTCTTATAAAACTAAACACAATGCCTTAAACAATGGGTTCTCAAAAAACACGTTGAAGGAATAGATCGATAAGGAAGACTGATATTCTTTGTGGTCCCAGCTTTAAACTGGGGAGGGTGTGTGGTTTTAGCTATCGTACTTACAGAACTGTAGTAAAAATCTAATATCCAGTGAATGAATTTGAAGGCATTCAATGCATTGTTTTCCAGAACTACATTGATGTATGGAGCCATTTTCCCTCCATACGTATGAGGAATTGGTCCCAACATTATGATGCTTATAGATGGGCTAGTGCACATCCTCTTATATGCTTTAAGTCACCTCTGGAATATTTACAGTATTCAATACAATGTAATGCTATGTAGATAGCTGTTTCCCTATGATGTTTAGGGAAAATGAAGAGAGTTTGTACATATTCAATACAGATGTGATTTTTATGAATATTTAAAACCCATGGTTAGATGAAACTATGGGTCTAGAATCCATACAGGGGAAAAAGAAACTACATATTGAAGTGAAGAGATATAAATTAGGAGAACGCCGGGCGGTGGTGGCGCACGCCTTTAATCCCAGCATTCGGGAGGCATAGGTAGGCAGATCTCTGTGAGTTCGAGGCCAGGCTGGACCGACAGCCTCCAAAACAATACAGAGAAACCCTGCCTCGCAAAACCAATAAATAAATAAATAAATAAATAAATAAATAAATAAATTAGGGGAACATAGGGGCTGCATGATGTGGAACGGCATTAGAGTTTATGTGTGTACAACTATACACTTTTTTTTTTGTTTCTCTCTTGGTGAGCCTGGTAAGATGATTTACATACATTTCATGACTTCAAGTTTAATAAGCTTTTCAAAATGATCAGGCTATGATCATATTTTTACCTAATTCTATTGTTCATATTGTAAAGCACATTTTAAACTGGGCCCAAAACATTTTTCAAGTTTTATCACACCTCATTTCCCTTCTCTGTTCCTTCTATCTTCCTTTGGAGGCCATGGAATGAACAAGCGGATCTTAGTTCTTCCTTTTGTTTTAAAGTCCCATGGGCTAGGGATGTGGCTCAGTGGTAGAACATACATGTAATATGTGTAAGGCCCTGGGCTTATTCCCCAGTACTGTAACAAATCATTCAATAAATACAAAGAATAAAATTCTGTGTGACACATGTTATTTACTGTGCATGAGAACAGACCACAAGATATACAACAAAACCCACGTTAAGAGTTTTATTAATAAAGAGTAGGGAGAGGGTGTGCACAGGCCAGTCTGAAAGAAATGGGGGGGTGGGGGCACAAGGGAGGGGGGGAGAAAAACACACAGAGAGGAGAGTCTGGTGTGGCTTTTAAAGGTCACTTAGTGCATGCGCATGGGTTTTACATGGCCACACCACCAATACCCATGGATTATGCAACCTTGCTGAGCCCGCAAGCAAGGCTCTGGTATGACTAGGCATTTTGCCTGAATGCTGATGGCCACGTGGGTGGCCGTGGGATCCCGGAAATGACAACACAGAATATGCCTTTCCAGCCTACACTAGACCAAGTGTTAAAAATGTTTGACTTGTCCACACTTTTTAGGTCACTGCTTGTTCATTTAGTTGCCTTTAAGGTTTGCTATGAGTCACACAGAAAGCATTAGAATCAAGATCAGCAGAGGGCTATTCATCCTCTCGGGTTCATTAAGTTTCTTCAAGTTGTTAGTTTCTGTGCTAGATAAACAGGAGACACCAACACCAGGTTTCTGGTGTCAGTTCAGTCACTTTTTCAGTAAACTCGAGTTAGTAAAGATGTTCATTTACTCATTCTCCTTTGCCGTATCTTATATTAATGAGTTTTCTTTCTTAGTAAAGGTTTGCCCTTGTTACCTAAAGTACTCACGTCATCTTCCAGATTTTGTATGTTATGTACTTGTAAGTCATTTATATTTCAGTCATTTGTTTTTATATGTCCCATAATATTGTTTTAAATTTGCTGGGATATATCTCAGTGGCAGGGTGTTTGCCTACCATACACAAGGCTGTGGATTCAAGTTCCAAGAGTATAACAAAAAAGAGTGCTTCAAACATGAGTAGATAGTTTTCTGTTATTTATTAAATTATCATTATTTTTATTTAATTGAACAAAATAAATTCTCATAGACATAGGGACCAATTTTTAAGTTCCCTGTTTTGTTTCATTTTTATATCTGTCTACTCTGTAAATATTGTCAAATTGATTTGATTACAAAGCTTTTAAATTTTGTTTTGATATCTGCTGAGGCAGAACTCTCTTAGCAATCTTCCTTTGTATGGTTTTATTAACCATTCTTGGACATTTTAATTGTGTTTTATAAGCTTTGTGATACCTTTCCTGCTACCAACTGGAAAAAAAATCTGCCTTTAGAAGTAATCTCAAAGTTGGGTAGGAAGGGATAGGAAGGTGTAGAGGGCAGTAATGAATGGAGTTGAAGTACAGGGTGATGAAAAATGTTCAAATATATTGTATGAAATTCTCAAAGAATTCCTAAAACTATTGCAAACAACAACACTGCTTCTCAACAGCTCTCATGACTACCCCTGTAATCAGGAATGTAGTAAAAACAAATACTCTTATATTTGCTAGTGAAAATGTAACCTATTAAAAAATTTAAACACGTATTCTTCAACCAGGCAATTCCATTCATGGAATAAATGAAATAAAGCATATGTAAACATTTATTGTGCAGTGATTTAATTATAGTACTGTTAACAATGAACAAAAACTAGAAACAGTATATAAGGCCACAAGTAGAGAATGGTTAAATAAATTATAGTACACCCACACAACATATTACCATGTAGAAGGAATTTGATGTATATCTTATTATGTGGGATGTTCTCCACATAGTACTCCACAGCAAGATAAACAAGAACAAGAAAAGTGTATAAAATAATCCTACTTCTTTCAAAATGTATGGCCCTACATATGAATGAGGAAAACATTTTTCAATATCCTGTTTACCTGTAGTTCATGAGAGAGCATAAAATGCAGCATATATAAAGAACTCTTGTAATTCAATAACAAAAAAAAACAGTTTAAGAGAAAAGACCTTAAATGGACATTTCTCCAATGAAGATATACAACCAATAAATACATAAAAATATGTTCAACATTATCAGTCTCTGGGGGGGGGTTAAAAGCCAAAACCATGAGATACCACATCACATATAGCTATATAGGCAACCCCGTAGAAAGGAAAATACACATGGAAAAGTGTGTAGAAAAATCAGAGGCTTTGTATGTTGCTTGTATAAAGTAAAATGGTACAGTTTCAATGGAAAACAGTTTGGCCCTTCCTCAGTCAAAACAGAATTTCTGACGGATGCAGCAGTTCTTTCCTTGGAAACACACATCTAAACACACACAAATGTTTATAATTCACAGCAGCCAAAAATAAGAAAACAAACCAAATATCCATCAAATGATGACTATATAAAGCAAATGTGGTTCATGTCTCAACTATAAAACACAAATAAGTCCCAACTTATGTTACAGTGTAAACAAAACATATTGTCCTTATGTTAGGTGAAAGAAGCCAGAAGTGGAGTTCACATGTATGAAACTTTCAGAGTAGATATATTCTTTAGAGGCAAAGGCACATTAGTGTTTCCAGGTACTGTGTGAGTAAGGGAGACTAAGTGTGTAAGTGTGGGTTTGCTTTCTGGAGTTGAGAGCATGTTTTATTCCTACAGAGGAGTGAGGGCGCCACAGTATTCAGGAGGTACTAAGACCATTGAGCTGTCTGTTTCCATATTGCTTATTTTGCCTTATGTGACTATTATCTCAGCTTTAAGGATGCCCACTTTCATCCCATCTGAGAAGCTAAATGGGGTTGCAAGTAGTTACTACTCTCATATATATATATGTGTGTGTGTGTAAATGTGCAAATTTACTTCTGCCTTAGTTTTCTATTGTTGCAAATTTGTACAAATGTAGCAACTGAAAACAATTACAACAGCTAGGCTCACAGCAGTTGAGTGTAAGCAGATGGGCTTAGTTAGGATCTCTGGGGTTTCACATCAAATCCCAGCTGTAGGCCACATTCTTCTCTGGAGGCTCTGAAGAAGAATCCACTCCAGGCTCTTTGAGTTGTTACATGGTGGTGGTGGCAGTTTTTTTGAGACAGGGTCTCACTATGTAAGCTATCTGTCCCGGGACTCCTTATATTGTTCAGGTTAGCTTAAACTTTTGCTTCAAGTGCCGGGATTACAGATGTGTGCTACTACTCTTGACCCTTTGAGGTTCTTAGAAGAATTCAGGTCCATGTGATTGTAGGACTGAGATCCCTGCTTCCTTGCTGTCAGCCAGGAGCCAGATTCTGTTGTCCCAGGCTACCCACATGCCTTGGTTCATAGGCAGCAGAAAGTCAAAGCCTTCTTAGCCATCAAATGAATTTGACTTCCTTTACTACTACCATGGAAGAAAATTGTCTGCTTACAAGGGGCACATGTGTTGTGTGGATAATCTTTTTGTACACTGTGAAGAAGTGTCTCTGCCTAAGGTGCCTTCTGATTGGTTTAATAAAGAGATGAATGGAAAGGATAGGTGGAGGAGAGTGGAGAGAGAGGAGCTAGGAAAGACTCTGAGGCTGGGCAGATTAAGACTGTAAGACAACGGGGGAGTTGGACATGGAATATGGAGGAGAGGTAATGAGCCATGTGGCAGAATGCAGATTAATATAAATGCATTAATTTAAGTTATAAGAACTAGTTGGGAACAAGCCTAGGCTAAGGCCAAGCTTTCATAATTAATAAGAAGTATTGGTGTTATTATTTGGGAACTGGAGGTTCAAAGAAAGACCTATGCTTGCATTAACTAGATTATTTTTGTCACAAAACGTTATGCAATCACAGGAATATTATCAAATTCACAGCTTCCATGCTACCTTAAAATGGATAGATATTATATAAGGACAAGGGTCATTTTGGATCATCGTTAGAATTCTTCCTCTTTCAGAAAAAAAAGAAGTCACTTTCTATCCAATTCAAGAGAAACTTTAGGTCCACAGCCACACTCATTGCAAAGCAGTTTGGAAGTACTTCTTATTCCATCTATAGCAAGGAAAGTGATACATAGATTCCGTAGGTTCCCAAGCCTCAAGGAAAGGATAGAAAGCCAACTTTAGTGGATAAACATCTCAACGTGAGGCCTGTGATGGCTTGTTGGTTTATTTTTCTTCCCTTTTCTCTACTGAAACACTGCATGTACATGCAAAGCAGCCAAAAACTACCCCAGCTTTCTTTCTGTAGTTGTGAAGAGAAACTGATATTATGGTGGGAATTTAGGTGACTATATATTTGATAGACCAAAAGTTCTCTTACATTTTAGTCTCAGAGCCCTTGTTATTGAGGCCTTTTGATTTTGGTGGGTTAGAACTACGATATTATCGGATAGTAGAAATTTCAAACTAACACACAAGCATATGTCCTTTTAGCCTACAAACTGATGATGATATCATCACATATTATACAGCCTCTGGAGTGTAAAAAAGAATGAAGTCTTCAGACCACCCTGAAAAAGACTCGGTGAAAGATGTCAACACCTTACATTTTTGCAAATTGATCCACTCCCGCATTTTGGTGTTCTCTCGAATATAGCTTTATCTGGCGTGAGATTAGAACAGAGATTAGAACCTGTGAATCTAGCAAAAACTCATACAGAGGGCGTTGAAGGAAAGCACTGGGCAGTCCCATCATGTTTCGCCCTTGGAAACAGACCGTTTTTATTGCCTGTTATTTTTTGTTTTAGTGAAGAAATGTTTGTGATTGCTTTAGTGAGTCTGGATTTTCCATTCTCCTTTTAACCAGTGTGTAAGAATTGATTTTGTAGAAGGAATTAAAGGATGCAAACTCAGATGGCCCTCAATCTGAGAGTGGAATCTCAAGACTGGGAGTCATCGTTCCCTGGGGTGCAGGAGTGCGCTGATCTGAGCCAGGTTTTGTAGTCTAGAGTCAGGAAGCAGGCAGCTGGAGTGCTGGGGAGGAGACTAGCCTGTCTAGGTAAGGTATTTTTCTTCAAATAGTGAGGTGGGAGACTGGTTAAGAAACCTCCCAGTGTGGGGGTGGGGCCGAGCTGATTTTACCTTAGCAACCTCTGGGAATTTCGTGAGCTGCATGCTTACCGGAACTTGGAGCCTATTTTAGGGCCCCGGCCTTCAGGGAGATTTCCTTCACAAGGGCTATACTGTAGTTAATTGTTCTCTGTATCCTGCAAACAAAAATAGTGACGAAATAAAGCAAACCTCTCGCTGACCAGCTCGTTCATCTCGTTTTCTTTCGGTCTGTAATAAAACAACAACAACAAACAAACAAAAAACAAAGCTCGGCCGGGTGGTGGTGGCTCACGCTTTTAATACTAGCACTAGGAAGGCAGAGGCAGGCGAATCTCTGTGAGTTCAAGGTCAGCCCTGGTCTACAGAGCCAGTTCCAGGACAGCCTCCAAAACAACACAGAGAAACCCTGTCTCGAAAAACAAAACAAAACAAAACAAAACAAAAAAACAAAAAAGCCAAATCAACCAAATAAACAAAACCAAAGCTCAGCTCTCGGGCTTGAGTCTTTCCAAGGCATTGCATTTTCCCGCCTCAAGGTTAAAGGTGTGCAGTCCTGTGTCACAAGGTCTCCCGGGAGGAGGACCGACTAGACACCAGAGGGCCAGCGGGGAAAACTAGGTAGGCTCACGGTGCGGAAGTGCACATCCGGGGATCTCGCTCAAGGGAGCCTTCCGGACTCAATATTAGAAAAAGCAGGTGACCGAGCCGAGGCGGGAGGCAGTGGGGGTAGCACGTGGGATCCCCGCCACAGGGTCCAGACACGATTCCCACCTGTCGGGTGTCGGAGAGACCCTCACATCAGAGGGCTGGCGCACCGCCCGGGCAGCTACTGACCCGCGGGAAGCAGGGACGTGGACTGTGATTGGCTGTGATGAGGGGGGCGGTTCTAGGGGGCGTGGCTCGTGTGCGCCCTGCGGCGGGCTAGGCGGCTGGTGGGGCCTGGCGCGCGGCACAGCTTGACCGGGCCGGCCGGCGGGAGGTGGCCGGGGCTCGCATCAGCCTGACCCTGGCGCCGGGCAGTTTCGCGCGCGGTGACAGGTCCCCGCGCGGGGCCGCGGCTGGAGCGAGCTCCAGTTGGCGGAGAGGGAGGAGGGGGCCGGTCCGGCGTCCAGCCCCACGAGCTCAGGATGGATGTGCCGGCCCGGGTGTCCCGACGAGCGGCGGCGGCGGCGGCCGCTATGCTTCTGCGGACGGCCCGCGTCCCTCGAGAGTGCTGGTTCCTGCCGACCGCGCTGCTCTGCGCCTATGGCTTCTTCGCAAACCTCCGGCCGTCCGAGCCCTTCCTCACGCCCTACCTGCTGGGGCAGGACAAGAACCTGACCGAGAGAGAGGTAGGCGCGGCGCGGCGTGGCGGGCGGGAGGGCGAGCTGGAAACGTGTCTGTGGAGGGCCTGCGGCGGAGCACCGGCGCAGGCTACGCACGTAGCCGATCCGTTTTCTGCTCACTTGGAAAAGCACTTCGTGTACCGCTTTGCCTTACTCTGGAGTTTCTAGCTCTGATGTTCCCTGCGGACTAAATGGGAGGGGCCTCAGCCCGCGTGCAGGTTTGTTTCAGGCCATACGTGAATAGTGCTGTATGTATAGTGGCATAACCCGGCTCTGCCCGGATACGTCCTGCAGGAGCTGCTGGGGACAGGGGGCAGCGAATGGATTAAAAAAAACAAAAACAAAGAAAAACAAAAAACAAAACAAGAAAAAACAAGAAACAGTAAGCTCTACTTTGGATAGAATATATACATACTAAACACATATGTGTGTGTATATGTGTGTGCATATATACACATGTATGTTTACATGCACACAAGCGTATACATACGTATATGTATTCAAATACACACATGCATACTTATACATATATATGTATGTACATGCACTTGTGTGTATGTGTGTAGTAAGGTGGCGCTGCTTTTGTGAAAAGGTTCCCATTTTCCCTCCTGTCCTTGACTTCGTTTGCCTTTGACAAGGTAGATATTCTCTACCCCATAAGGACAGTCCAGGACAGTAGTAGGTCATCTAAATTTGGCTTTTAATTAGGTGAGATTTTTGTTCAGAGACATCCTGCCCCCTCTGAAGTCCATCTCTGGGATGAAAACAAATGGTATCTCATGATTGGGACTCAGTTTTTCTTGTCGTGTGAACTGTTGCTTCACCTACAGGTTTTGTTACTTACCTGCCTGTGGAGGTTTTGTGGGCTTTAATGTACGTGGCCCATGATCAAGAACTCCTGAGCATTCATTTACTCAAGTAAAGGACTTAGAAGCATAGCACCTCAGAAGTGCATAGTAGACTTTTAGAATGGCCTACTTCTTCTAACTAAAACACATTATCCCAGCACTTGGTTTTGGCAGAAGAGAATATAGACTGAGAAAGAAATGAAACTAGTTTGACCCCCGTACCAAAAAGGGTGAGAGCTGAGGGCTAATGTCTTTGTCTACTGTCAGCTGAGTGGACACTGGATAGCGGTCGCCCTTTTCCTGCACCTCTTTCCTTCCTTCCCAGCCTGCTTCCCTGCCTGAGTTGCCGTAAAACATTACTCACATTTACACCTTCCTTGCATTGCTAATCATCTAACTCAGTAAGTCAGCATGGCAGGTCAGAGAAAAGGGTGGCACTACCAGTCATTTTTACTGGCAGATTTTAATGACTACAGCTTGTCGCTGCAGAGTGTCTTTATTCAAGGTCGCTTGAAAAAGAATTGAAAGTCAGTGTTGATTTCCCAGATTCTTTGACAGTTAGCAGAGTACAGCAGGCTTCTACCCAAATGTTAAATCCTGTTTCCTAGTCTTCTGGGTCACATCACAATTACTTATTATCCCTATGTATTAGATACCAGCCAAAGGCAATAGTAAAAGGAAAAGACAAAGACTTCTGATGAGAATGATTTTTCCCGAGAAGAAAATTGCTACATAGTTATAAGAAAGTGTGATTCTGGAGACCTAGAGCAACCGCTGAAGCTGAGGTACACACACAGAGGAAGACGTGATTTTGGTTTTGAGCAGATAAAAGTTACATACTGACTGCCATGTGAAATGCACAGTGTATGCACAAGCCTGACAGCAGCATGGGAGAACCACTCTCTTGCTTTTGATATTTGAAAGTTGATCTGTTTTGTCACAGGCCCTGGACTGAGAGCTGCTGTGTGCTGTCACGGTCACATGCTCTGCCTTAGCAGAAGGTCTTACATATGTTTAGGAAGGTATAGGAGTGTGTCAGGGTGCTGGAACCAGTACTTGTCTATTGTATAACAACATAAGGATGCTTCTCAGCAAATTAGTCAAGGCAAGGGGATTTGAAGAGAAATCCAGTGATCTGCTGTGTGGGATCTTGGAATGATGGCTGATTCTGTTGGTTATGCCAGTGTTGCCCTTCTTTCCCTGTGGAGAATCCTAAATTAGAAAAAAAAACCTAGTAGCTGAAATAGAACCACTGTTGTTCTTCATGAATGAGCACTTGCTTTCAGCAATGGGCATTGCATTTTAACCAATGTAAATCTCAGGATAGTCAGTAATATTTGTATTAAAGTGTGTAGTTTCCCCTTGAAGACTTCAGAAGTGCCAACCTGGATCATCTTAAATAGTGCCAAGATCACCAAAACCCAAGGACAGAATTTCCTCTCTTCATTTCCATTTTAAAGATATTGTTTATAGAATTTTAGGGAAAGTATTATAAAGTTACCACTTTAAAAGTTGAGGCAGGTTATAATTAGACTATATCCAATCATTGAAAAACCAAACATCAATAAGAGCTAGCTATTTATTGATTGATTTATGATGCTAGGGACTGGATCCAGGGCCCCTTCTGCATGCTATGTAAGCACTGTACCACTGAGCTACGTTTCCAGACTTTTTTTCTTAAATTTTGTATTTATATGTATGTCTGTGTGAGTGTTTGTGATGTGTGTAGGAGCCCGTGGCTGGAGTTACAGGTGGATATGAACCAGCTGACATATGACTCAGGTGTTGAGAAACAAACTCCAGTCCTCTGGGAGAGTAGCAGGTTCTCCTAACCTCTGAGTCATCCCTCTAGTGCCATTGACCATTTTCTAGGGGTGTTTTTATTAAGTTGCCCTGAGTATCCTGTACTTGTGATCCTCATGCCTCAGCCTCTCAGGTGGCTGGGATTACAAGCATTTACCACCATACCCAACAGAACCCTTTGTCTCTAACAAGTGATTTTATCTTTCCTTGGTAGCATTTGGTTTTGATGTTTACTGCTCTTCTTGGGCTTGCTTAACACTCTGAACCTGGTAGATACCTTTACCCCTTTCATACACCCGGCTTCATTCATCTGCCAATCCCAAATCTAGCTTATTCACCATCTCATGTATGGTCCAGTGCTTAAATGCATGATCTCTGCTTGGAATAATCTGTGTGTGTGTGTGTGTTTTCTTGTCTTTGTTGTCTTTCTGGGCCCACCATAGTTTCAGGGGTTTTTTTTGTTTTGTTTTGTTTTTTTGAGACAGGATTTTTCTGTGTAACTCGATCTGTAGACCAGGTTGGCCTTGAACTCACAGAGATCCGACCACCTCCTGAGTGCTGGGATTAAAGGCATGTGCCACCACTGCTTGACTCAAAATATTTTTTGTTTTTGTTTCCTTTTGTTTTGGTTTTTGCTTGTATGTTTGTTTTGAGTTTTTTTTGAGACAGGGTTTCTCTGTGTAGCTTTGGAGCCCATCCTGGCACTCATTCTGTGGACCAGGCTGACTTCTAGATTCTCCTGCCTCTGCCTCTGCCTCCTGAGTGCTGGGATTAAAGACATGAGCCACCAACGCCCAGTTCAAAATATCTTTTAAAGGAATGTTTTCCAGTATTAGGATTTCTCTACCAGAAATGTTTTAAAAGAATGTCCTCTGAGACCCAGTCCTGGAGACTGTGGTCTTCATCTCTTGAGGAATCCCTGTCATGGTACATCCACAGCAATGGTAAACTTCTGAAGGCACTAGACGTAAATTAAGACATTCAGAATTGACACCAGTTTCTAAATTAAGAAAGTAGATGTTCTTGTGTGGTGGATTGGGAGGATGTCTGGTTCAGATCTTTTCTCTGCCAATCCTGGCTGTGGTAACTTTGAATAATTCAACATTCTCTAACACCAAGTTTCCTTCTTATAAAATACCAATGCTAAAGCATTTACTTCTTAGGATTGTTTGGATTAACTGGAAATAGTTGAGGTAACATTCACAGAATGGTGTGTAGGATACTCAGAGATGTGCTGCCATGGTGCTAACAGTGGAAGAGGATATTTTTTTTTTCTTATTTGATGTTCCTTGTAGGAGAAACCAGGTCTCTTAATTAGAGGGAGTTAAAGAGAACCCATCTGGTCTCCATGTTCCACCCGACCCATCCCTTAGCCATATTTAGTTGATATCACAAGGCTGGTAGTATTACTTTCCCTCATCTTCAGTTAGCTAAATTGTGGGTTTGTGTCGGTGTAGTGTTAACCTCCTAAGTGTTATTTATTTACTTTGAAACAAGGTCTTACTATGTTACCAAACTGGTCTTGAACTAATTAGCGTTCCTCCTGCCTCAGTCTACAGGCATGCACCACTACACCCTTCAATTGATAAAGGATAGGACTTACACAATGAAACTTTGGCAGTTAATCATTTAAGGACAGCTACTGCTGGAAGTTACATGTCTAAGCTTAAACAGTATTACTAGAGTGAACAGTTGAGCAAAACTTGGGTACAAAAGAAGGTGGGATGCTGAAGGAAGCAATAGAGAGCATTTTTAAACTTTTATCAGCATAGTAATTATATGTATTCATGTATTAATTTCAATACATGCATACAGGATACAGGGATTAGAAAAACTGCCATTCACCTCCCCACCATTTTCTTGTATTTGGAGTCCTTAAGATGTTCCCTTCTGGTTATTCATAAACTATATAATCGGTCGTTGTTGACTACACTCATTCCAGAGCGTA